AGAGGAAAAGAAGAGATGGCAAGTTGTTGATCAACATGTAGAGTTGCAACTCATCTGCTGAGTCCACAGCCCCGAAAATGGATGGCGCTAAAGCGCATGACATATGCTCGGCCGTCGTGGCGGCTTTGATGCTGCGACGAGGGCCTGTTGCGAAGCCTGAAGCATGAGCCTAGGTGAAGCAGCGCAGATCTTGGTAGTAGTAGCAAATTTTCAAATGAGAACTCTGAAGACCGAAGTGGAGAAGGGTTCGATGTGAACAGAGCTCGGCCCTAAGAGATGTTAAAACCTTTTATTAGCAAGTAATGATATGGTAAAAGCTAAGTCTCCTGTCTGTTTCCTATCTTGAGCGCGTGCTTCTTTTTTGCCATGGTCAAGAAGCATAAGTTGTTGGAATGCTGAGACGTGTGACGACTGCTTTTGTAATGAAGTGCAGATCAAATTGCTGAAGATTTTGGCCGTCTTGGGGGCAAATGATAGAGAGGCAAGCCAGCACATGTACAATGTGTTGGGGGAGGTGCTGAAGAAAGCCAGCGGGACACCAAGCAATATAAGGGATGCTATTCTTTACGAATGTGTTTGTACGATTACGTCGATATATCCAGAACCAAAGCTCCTGGAGCAGTGTGTAGAAATAACGTCAAGGTTGCTAAAGGTAAGGATTCAGTGAACTTAGAGGCAGGCTCTACTGTTGGATTGCTGATGCGAAGTTATTATAAGCCTGCTGGCTTTAATGACCAGGTCCTTGTTTTCTGAGCACGTGTCATACAAGCAGAGCCTGGCCCGTGGGCCTACCTGTCCTTTTCTTTTTGGTCCTGCTCTCTTCCCCCTCCCGCGCCCCCTCCCTCCCTGCATGAGTTGTTCTCTCTCTCTCTCTCCCTCTCTCTCTCTCTCTCTCTCTCTGTTTTTCCTGAAAAAAACTGTCGGGAGGGAGCCTTGTTGAAGGGAGCATCAGTCCAGTCCATTTCCATTGTACACTGTAACCTCATTTTACATAGCAATCTCTACTCAAGAAATTACGTCCACACAGCTCACAGTGCTCTGCGTGATTGAGGAGCAAGTATGAGAAAAAGGAAGTTTTTGTGCTCGTCACAGTGAGTACGAGAAAATGAAACTTTTTGTTTTGTGTGTCTTTATAACTCTTTGAGCCCCCGGTACGTCCTTCAAGAGACGCAATGAAGTACATACATGGGCTTTGGTAAAAAGCTTCAATGTGGAACATGCATGAAATAGCCGTACCACGCCTACTCATTGCGAAATGAAGACATGTCTCCCTGGCTCTTTCGTGAGTTGTTGGGATGTATTGGATGTGTGCATCTGGGATTATCCGTGCAAGACATTCCGGCTGTGTGGAGTAGTTGTGTGGAAAATACTGGAAACAAGGTAGATTTCACAGCCATTGAAGAGCAAGAAGAGCATTTTTATTTTTATTTTTACCTCTTTCCTTTTATAAAAAAGGACCATTTCTCGATTTATGCGTGTCATCCTTGCGCAGGGGCCATGCTGATCTTCTCGCTATCGTTCCAATTTTAACGGATGTTCCGAAGGAGGGAAACAGAAGGGTGGTTTGCAAGCTTTCACGAACTATGTGAATGATTGTTTTTTATTTCTATTTTTTTGTAAGGGTGGTGTTTATCACCTCATTTGAACCTGAGCAAGTCAAAGGAATAGTGTGTTGGCACCATCGAAACATGGATTCATTCTTTTGTTGTAGGTTGCCGGTTCTCCATTTCCTGAACTGTGAGTTGCCTATAGGAGGTAGCCACAATGTTGATGAGAACTTGGGGACCTCTCATGGACATTCAATGTTGCTCTCTCTCTCTCTCTCTCTCTCTCTCTCTCTCACGCTCGCTCTCTCTCGTTCTCTTTTCTTTCCCGTATTGGTTATTTCTCTATCTTTTAAGTCGATTGCTGAGTTTTCCTGAATATTTGGTTCTCTGTGTTGTAATTGTGCAGGACAACAACCATAATCTGAAGTACTTGGGCATCGATGCATTGGGTCGAGTCTACAAAATTAACCCCGATATTGTATCCATGGAGAAGTTTGCGGTGATCGACTGCTTGGAGGTAATTTAGGAACTTCTCATTTGGGTTGATGGAGAAGTGCTTTATAGTACAAGTTCTTCCTTTTCTTTTTTCCTTTTTTGGAATCTGGGAAGGACCGTTCTTTGAATGCACTCTTGCTTCCTGTGAGCTGTGCATGGTCTCCCCTTCCTGTTGTGGTTCCCTCTGTGTGCTATAACTGTTTTTTTCTACGTGCTGTGTTTTGCTCACTACCGGTAGTCAGCGAGCACTCAATTGTTTGTAAGTTGGCAGTTAATTGATTGATTGTGGAAATTGCTATATTGTATTCATTGATTGGCTGTGGGTGGAGATTGCTATATGCATTTGGTTTGGAGATTGCTCAATTGCTTGCTTGTGGGTGTGGAGCGTTATGGTAGAAGTAAGCTTATTGACAGCACCGGGAAGGGAAGACGGATCCATTCACACTATTTTTCATGGCTGTCTCTGAATTTTAGGTGTTTCCGTGTATTATGATGTCAAGTGGAAGTGACCCTGTGTTTACAAGTTCCTTCTTTTGAATTCTTTTTTCGTTTTAGTTGCAGGTATACGTTACTTTGCAGTGTTCTTCATCGGTCGATGCAATTGGTTCCGAGCTCCGTTGGGACGTGTTTGGCATTGTACGCAGAGCGGGTTTGGTGATCACTGGTAATGCTGAGTGGTTTTCTTCTCTTTTTTTGGTTCCTATTCCACTGGCAAGTCAATAATACTATTAATACATCATGAACCCACACAAACACTTCTCCCCTTTTATGGTAGGAAGACCCGAGTGGACGGTGTTGATTGCTTCCAACGAGGGAGGATGTACCACTCTTCACCCCTGCCGAAGTTAGACTTCCATCACTGAGCTTTCAGCCTGCCGCTGATGAAAGTTTGAAGTGACTGGTTTTTTATTTTGAAGTATGCGTGTCTGAATAATACTTGTATTCGTTGATTTGTCTGTGATAAAATCTTCTTATCTTCTTCCACATTTGTCAATACTGACTCGATGCTCTGTGCGACAGAGTCGAAATGAGATCTTTTGAAACTCATAATAGCGATTAGATCGCTTTATATTTCTGCATAGTCTCTCTTCAAGGAAATATGGCATTTAGAAACGCTTACGTTATGTTCTCCACACACACATGGATAGCAAGGAAAGGACTATGGCTGGCTGTCCTGGTGCTGAATTGTATTGGATTTTCTGAACCTTACCCACGCGCGGTGGTACTGATTCTGCTGAACAGGACCAGGATGAAACTCTCAAGAGGAAGACCTTGGACCTGCTGTATAGAATGACGAACCCGAGTAATGTGGAGGTGATTGTGGAGAAAATGATAGCATACATGCGTACGCTAAATGACGTGCATAGCAAAACAGAGATCGCGGGGCGTGTCATTGAGTTGGTCGAGCAGTTTGCACCAAGCAACCAATGGTTCATCCAGGTACATTGCCCCCTCTTCCCCTGGGCCCCACACCCTCCAGAAGAAGAGCACTCACACAACTAGAAGAGGGTGTGAGTGACCATTTGCCAGGCTAGAATCAAACATGGCTCGCAGCTCCCCCATGCTCCTTGGCATCCTGTCAATGTGTATTTCTTGCCTCGTTAGACGAAGTGAGACGAATGCTTATGGGCAGGAAAAGGGGGGATGCCTTCTTCTCTCAAAGTTCTTTAGCTGGTCAGATGCAAATGCTGTGAACCTGCATGGTAGAAACAACTGTAGACATTTGGCCTTTTCTGTTATCTGTTGCAGTTTGGGGGGAAAGGCGAGGGGGGGTTGCAAGAGGGGGGTTGGGGCGGGGGGGGGGGGGGGGGGGGGATAGATGGGGAAGAGTGAACTCTTTCTAACATGCCCAATTATTGTTGGCTTCCCATTGTTATCCCTTCGTGTGAAGGTGCTGAGCCCTTCACAAAACAGAGGTAGAAGCACTTTGACTGTCGATCTGTTGGGAACTTGGGACTGGAATTACACCACAAGTACGCGGCCCCAGCCTTGTAGAAATCCGTTCATCGTCTACTCCAAAAGTTTTGCAGCTCGGGGCCACCGTACCACGATGGATGACAGCCCCAGCCAAAAAAGAAAAAGAAGTCCACCGCTGGCGGTTCACAAAGGCTTGGCGCACACTGCAGTGCGTCCAGGCCCGTGCGTACCGGTGGTTTAAGCTGTCGGTTCAGCTGTCAATCCGTGAACTGTGGACTGCGACTTGTGGTAGGCAACGTACTTTTCTGAGTGCACATGAAGCTTCAGTAACCCAACCATTTGCAAGCCAGCGATGTGTGCCGCTCATGAATGTTTGCATCGCTCACAAATGTGGTATTTGTGTCGCTCAAAAATGTGGTCTGTGGCTTTTCACTACCTTGTGCTGCAGTGTGAGTTTGATGTCATGTAGTATTGTGTGATATGCGTCTGGTGTTGTGTTTTTGTGTTTGTTATTATGTGCTGTTGGACTGAAGGAGTCATCCAGCCAAGCCTTGTTGATGGAAAGTGATTGAACCCAAACCGTTCCATTGAAGAGCCTTTTTTTATCGGTTTGGGGCTGACTGGGGGCTTTTTTATCTGTCTGGGTTTGACTGAGGGATGGCCTGAAGTTCTCAATGCACCTTAAACTGCCAATACCTTTCCCAGCCAAAAAAAAACAAAGGCCGGCTGTTAACACGGAGGCCGCCGCTGGTGTTGCGCAGTGGCCAGATTCAGCCGGAATCGTTGGCTCGCAGGGCCCGCAGCCAACATATGAGAAAGGTACTGGTGGTTTAAGTATCCTCTGTCATATGGCCTCTTCCTTCGGCAGACTTGGCCATTGCATGTGTGCGTGTTTGGAAACTCCTTCTCGTAGTGTCTGTTTGATTGGCAGAAACTCCTACTCATCATTTGTTGTTCTTGCGGATGTTGATGTTGGTGTGGCCGCATTCCAGACGATGAATCAGGTGTTTGAGTTGGCAGGGGACGTGGTCAGGCCAAGTGTTGCCCACAACCTCATGCGATTAATTGCAGAAGGTTCAGGCAATAATGATGAAGATGCTGATACACATCTCCGGTCATCTGCGGTGAGTGGCTTGTTTTGTAGAGCATCCATCCATCCATCCATCCATCCGTCCATTCGTCCATCCGTCCATCCGTCGATCCACCGATCTGTCCTTACTTCCATCCGGTCATGCACTCACCCAGCCACACATTGATGGTGCCTTGGTGTTAATTGCAGGGCCTAACGTTTAGACAGGATATCACTGGCCAACGTTTCCTTGCCGTCTCTTCTCTTTCTTCAGCCTGCAGGATCGTAAACCTGTTTTGCTCTGTTTTATGCACTTGAGCAGCTTCATACTGATACAGGGCAGTGCAGCAGGATGTCGGGTGTTTACCAGGGGACCGGAATGCTAGTGTGAGTGTCCCTGCCTTTTCTGCAGTTCCTTCATGAGCCTTTCCACTGTTTGGGAAAGTGTGGGTATGCCCTTACTAGCTTCCTTTTCCCCGGTCTTTTTAATGATCGTTTCCACATTTTGGCAAGTGGGAGCATGCCCCTTAGTGACCTGGGTCAGTTCACTGTTCTACGCACCTCTTGAGCCACTTAATACAACCCCCCTTCTCGCCCCTTCTTGCGCCTATGCTTCTTCTTTCTCTTGCCCAGTGGGAAAAGCTTTAGGACTCCCCAAGGTAGAGTGCAGAAAGGTCGTAATGCACATGGCGGAGAGTCCAGTAGGGGAAGGGGAGAGCGGGGTTGACGGAAGCTGAGGAAAGTGGTGGACAGAAGGGGTGTGCAACCAGGTGTTGAGGGGCGGGGACGGAGGGAGACGGAAGGATCGGCATTAAACCCCACCAGTCGTTCCCCAAAGTGCGGCCGTGCATCTGATGGGAGGCGCTGGGCCTGCGCGCACATGGATAAATTCATTCGGAATGCACCGTCACAGCACTGTAGCAATGGCTGGTGTGCTGCACTTTTCCCAAGTACTGCTGGTTTATAAGCTCATTGAGACAGTTGCATGGTGGGGTGTGCATCTCGGGTACCCAGATGGGACTCTAGCACCCGGATCTGTTATCTCATCGTCCTTAGGTACCCATCTGATCTGGTCACATTCTTCAGCAACGAGTTCCTGTGTGTGCACTCAGTTTCATCAGAGATTGGTCAACAACAATGCATGTGGCCTCTTCCTGTCTGGACTCTGAAGCTATCGATGAGACGGTTAGACCATTCAAATCGATCAGTTAAATGACCTCAATAAAGGCTCAATTCCTTTTCCCAACCCAATTCTCTCTGATTCAGCCCTATTTTATCGGTGATGGATGGCAGCATGTTGATGGTAGATTTAACAATTTTAACTAGATTCCCACCACTGATGTTTTTTGAAGTTTTTTTGCCTTTTGTCTTTTCCTGTTTTGGTTGTCTTTTTTTCTTTTTTTTGGAATCTGGACTTGATTTGTGCGTTTCATCCTTGCGCAGGGGCCATGCTAATCTTCTTTCTCTGTATCGTTCTGATTTTAAAGGATCTCCGGAAGGACTTTCCTGTTTCGTGTCTAATTTGTGTCTGTTTTGCTTTGCTTTCTTGGTACTGCAGGTTGAGTCGTATCTGCAGCTCCTAAAGGAGCCTAAGCTGCCGTCGATTCTTCTGCAGGTCAGAGACTGGTGTTGCAAGAGGTGATTCTGGTGCTGCTGTGTCGCAGAACCACCATATTTGTGTTGGTATGGATGCTTTGTTTCAGGATGTGTGGCTTTTTCTCTTTTCCCATTTTGTCAGGATGTGGCGTTTTCGTTTTTTTTTTCCCCATTTCGTTCTTTTTCTTCTTTTTCCCTAGGTAGTTTCCAGGTGCAAATTACTGTCACCAGGTTCATGTTATCAATATTACTCACATGGTTATTGTGTTATCGTGTCAAATATAGACTTGGTGGGGAAGTAAACAAGACCAATGCTTGGAATGGCATTGCGAACACACTTGCCGAGCAATAACGGTACTTGGAACCTTTTCTAGGAGACCAGTTCTGTGTGGAGTTACAGTGGATCCCCACCACTTTTAAATTTTACAAGATGCTAGTGTAGTAACAACACTAGAATCCGGGTGGCGCGCTGTGCTATATCATCCTGCAAATAAAAGAATCTGTGATTCGGGCTGAGGGCTAATGGGCTCAGATCGTCTCACATCAATCCGAGTGGTTGGCCTGGTATTACTGGCCCAACAGCCGGGATTAGAAGTGGAGGAACCTGCGCGGAAACTGTTCATGCCTAGGTCCCTCCCCGACCGCCCGTTGGGAAAAGTACCATTCGTCCTTCTGTGTTGGTTCTAGCTGCTGCGAGCATCGGTCTGAGCACCCTTTATTGTCGCCCCTGCCCTCTCTTTCGCACGCGTGCAAGAGAGAGAGAGAGAGAGAGAGAGAGAGAGAGAGAGAGAGAGAGAGAGAGAGAGAGAGAGAGAGAGAGAGAGAGAGAGAGACCGCTCTCTCTTATACACATCTAGATGTGTATAAGAGAGTGGAGAGAGAGAGAGAGAGAGAGAGAGAGAGAGAGAGAGAGAGAGAGAGAGCCAATGTGGCAAAAGGGCCGTTGGGTAAC